AAATGTGAGACTAATTGGTTTCGTAGGCCGCTAGGATGCTTTCTCCCACGTTATTCAAGCCTGAACACACATCTAAACGTTGAATGCAAGCTGACACAACTGTCATTTGAAGTGTAAGTCGAAGGAAAATGTTTAGTGAACATCTGCAGCTTATACGAATGTTGGTTTCTATTTCACATGATAACTCTCCGATTTTGTGTAATTAAAAGTCAATCTGAACGAAGAATATTCTTTTCAATAATTTCTCTTCAGGTTCTTACAACTATAAAATATAATATTTGTTGTCGTTACAATAAAGGCCAGTTATGCGGCAGATACATTTTTAACGTAGAATAACAGATTAGTTATGGGGTGTCAAAATAAATAGTCGTATTTGTGTGACAATCATGGTGATAGGCTGAATTCGATTACAAAATATTATGATATGGGAGACAATGGTGGTGATTAGTCATAATCGTAGAGTGTGGGGTAGGAAAAATTGACAAGTCAGTTCAAGGTTATAAAAGGTGTCAGGTGAGTGGCTAGTACAAAGTGGTCTGTGTTAAACAGGAGATAGTAAGACTGCAATGGGAGGTTCATAATGAGATAAAGAATATATGAAATGAAACAGGTGGAGGCATAAATTGAGAAAAGAGATAATATCACTAATAATAAGTCCGGATAGTATAAACGAAAATTCGATAGTATTGAGAGAATGTTTGCATGAAGGGCATAAATTATGACGAATAATAATAATATTAATAATTGTAATAATAATAACTGGCCATTATTGTAACGACAACAAATATTATATTTTATAATTGTAAGAACCTGAAGAGAAATTATTGAAAAGAATATTCTTCCTTCAGATTGACTTTTAATTCATAATATGGGAATTTTCCACACTATCAGATTCTGTGTAAGCTTGACTGGACAACTCTGATTAGCATAGTAAAATTCCCCAGTATAATGTTCACAGTCAGAGAGACACGAAATCACATGACTGATGCAGTCTACAAATTCTTTCATTTTAAGCGATAAGTGTCAAGTGTTGCAGTAGTTGTGTTTGTTGTAGAACGTGGTTGGGAATGCAAACTTGACCAGTGTGTTTTGTCTGATATCCTCAGAAGGCGTTGGAATGATCTAATTATTGCTGATTTGTAATTTGGTGTTGAATAACCAGAGAGAGAGAGAGGGGGATCTGATGATCATAAACACTAATCATTGTAGTGTTACCATGCGAAGACTTTCCTCCATGCTTGTAAACTGGGATGACTAAAGGTTGAAAGCTGAGAGAGTGACAAAGCTAATTTTTGAAATTAGTCTGTCTTACAGGCTACCTCTATTTTGGGTGAAACATTTATTCAGTCATTGGGGGACCTGGATTTGAAAGCTGTTGACGTTTAAGCCACTTATTCCCCTAAATATGGGTTAAATGATTGTTTATTCTCTGTTTTGTTGAGTAGGGAGGCATACATGTATTTAAAATGATAATCACCACGGAGAAATGTCTTGTGGCAGTCCATTGTACAGCTGTAGTGCTAGTCAATGCATCTGTCTCAGCATTATTATTATTATTCTATACATCTTCATGGTATGGGAAAACCTTGAGAAGCAACAGTTTCAACCTCTAGATGTTGGTTGATTTGCTCTAATGGGCAAAGTCTAACCGGGTAATGTCAACTAGGAGAAGTCTGGATTTTGTAGCATTCTGCAAAGCAACTCCTAGAGAGAATACAGATCAGTAAGAGACAAGTATTCAGTGCAACTAAAGATAGGTCAAGGAGTCATTTACTTGCTACAGGCTTTTGTGTAGGAGCTTCAGCATCAACCAACGGATGATCAGTGACAACTTCAATCATAGAAATATATAGAAATTCCCTTCGCAATTGAAACATTTATGGGTGGTAAACTTTCAAAGACAGAGTAAATTTCTCAGGAGATTGCCATTCATTTTAGGATAAACTACACACACACACACACACTGAGATGCAGTTTATTGGTGGAAGTATCCGACTTTCATGTAGTGGGTCAAATGTACAGAACAGTTGATATAAAATAAATGGGCTTCATATACCATTATATAAAAGTGTAGATGTCTGTACCGCAGCCGAAAACCCTGGGGAAATGAGATAAAGTGACAGTTTCTTCTACTAGCGTGTCTGACTGGAGTGAATCATCTGCATGAACTAGTCATCGTAAGTGTAGCATTTGGAAGGTTACTTCTTATATTCAATCAGAAAAACTAGTGTCAATGGTTTCCGAGGATTTGTGGATAATATCTACCACTGGAACGAATAAAGGCTAGTCTAATTAGCATAAGTGAAGAATTTAGGCACTGTGATTGGTTATAATTCCATGTTAGATAATTTTATTTCATATAACGGACATTAATGCAGTTTCGATAAGTGTTTGGCGCCTCGGGCACAATTTATTGCTCATAATCACATCGATCTCTCTTCCCCCTGTTATTCATCGTAATTTTTCAAACATCTCGTGCAGGCGTTGCATCATTCCGATTGCATACGTTTGGTGTGGACGTGATGAACGAAGATTCAGTGGTTGACCTTTCTCTTTCCACCTAACTATATTACTTCCACCCTGTTCCACCCCATGGTATTTATTTTTTGATTATAGCTTGTTCCCACACCGTATTTTTGGTACAAGTGTGGAATTTTCAACATGTGATATCGGTAGCCCAAATTTTGCATTGAGATCAGGTGTGCGTTGGCAGGGGATCGAACCCCGGACCATGTGCATGGTTGGCGAGAATCCTAACCGCTGTGCCACCGACATGCAGGTGAATACATTGCAATGGCTGAGTTTTCTTCTAGATAATTTAATTTAGCAGGTTAAATCATTCTAGCTCTAGCTAAATCCCTATATTCTGATAATCTTATTGATTTTCTATAGTTTGGTTTGTAAGGATTAGTTATGTTTTACGAGTTGATCACAGACTGATATCAGTTAGAGAACCATTGAAAACCAGGGAGTACTGGACAGCTGCTGTTTCATCCTAGTTTGGGAATCATCGGCAGTACGCACCCACTGGGATTCGAACCCAAGACCTTCCGGTTACAAGGCAAGCTCGTATACCATTCAGCCACTGGGACCCGATTCAATGGCTCATGAATTCTAACTTCTACCAATTCGTGATTTTAGCGCGACCCCAACTATTGTCGTTGGTGGAAATCCATCCACACGTGACTTCTAATTGGACCTCACTGGTCACGACTTCTCACTAGAACTGCAGGAAGCTCCAACCTGTAGCAAGTCACTAGCGAGCATCAGAATAATTTTCTATAGTTTGGTTTGTAAGGATTAGTTATGTTTTACGAGTTGATCACAGACTGATATCAGTTAGAGAACCATTGAAAACCAGGGAGTACTGGACAGCTGCTGTTTCATCCTAGTTTGGGAATCATCGGCAGTACGCACCCACTGGGATTCGAACCCAAGACCTTCCGGTTACAAGGCAAGCTCGTATACCATTCAGCCACTGGGACCCGATTCAATGGCTCATGAATTCTAACTTCTACCAATTCGTGATTTTAGCGCGACCCCAACTATTGTCGTTGGTGGAAATCCATCCACACGTGACTTCTAATTGGACCTCACTGGTCACGACTTCTCACTAGAACTGCAGGAAGCTCCAACCTGTAGCAAGTCACTAGCGAGCATCAGAATAATTTTCTATAGTTTGGTTTGTAAGGATTAGTTATGTTTTACGAGTTGATCACAGACTGATATCAGTTAGAGAACCATTGAAAACCAGGGAGTACTGGACAGCTGCTGTTTCATCCTAGTTTGGGAATCATCGGCAGTACGCACCCACTGGGATTCGAACCCAAGACCTTCCGGTTACAAGGCAAGCTCGTATACCATTCAGCCACTGGGACCCGATTCAATGGCTCATGAATTCTAACTTCTACCAATTCGTGATTTTAGCGCGACCCCAACTATTGTCGTTGGTGGAAATCCATCCACACGTGACTTCTAATTGGACCTCACTGGTCACGACTTCTCACTAGAACTGCAGGAAGCTCCAACCTGTAGCAAGTCACTAGCGAGCATCAGAATTAGAATTCATGAGCCATTGAATCGGGTCCCAGTGGCTGAATGGTATACGAGCTTGCCTTGTAACCGGAAGGTCTTGGGTTCGAATCCCAGTGGGTGCGTACTGCCGATGATTCCCAAACTAGGATGAAACAGCAGCTGTCCAGTACTCCCTGGTTTTCAATGGTTCTCTAACTGATATCAGTCTGTGATCAACTCGTAAAATCTTATTGATCTCGATCTACTAGTTATATGGTTATTAAATGTGGTGATTATCAAAGTTAGATGTATTTCACTGCACATGTGGCAATAGTGTCGTGTCTACAAACTACTGGCTTACACATAGTTACCAGCTGTTCACAATTTGGGCTTATAAAACGACGAATTCGTAGCTCAAATCACAAATAGGTGTTACTTGATGTAATCTTCAACTGAAAGAGTGAAGCTTTACAGTGATCAGTTTAGAGTATGATGCCCGACCGATAACTGCTACCTTGCCGTGGTGGTCGGGCTTGAATGCCGCAGTGACCCAACGAACTAAACTGGCTGGGACTCATGTCCCTGCAGGTCCTACCATGTCAGGAAGGTTGTTTGGATAGCGGTTAGACTAAAAGCAGTTACCATGGGGTACATGGGCTCCACAATTCAATCGGATCAAATGGCGTATGAGCCCATATGGGTCACCGGCAACCATGGGAACGCAGCTCCGCTGCCTTGCGGATTAGACTCCAAGTCAAAGGCTCGGGGAGTGGTCCCTTAGGAAAACCACCTGCTTCGGTCTGGGTGCCCGGGCAGTATCTCAGCCCTCACACAATATTGTGTGGCGCATCTTTCTTGGTGCCATATTGTACCAAGTTTTTCTGCGTTTAAATAAATTAAATAATAATAAAGAGTATGATGCCCAGATAGAAAGTTTGTGTTCCTGCTCCAAACGATGTGGATTTCACAAGACAATCAACAAAGGGTGGGGACAGGAGTCAAAACTAACTTCAGTGGTGCCTATGTACTATACCGGGAACAGAAGCCGACTACAATACTACAGACGGCCGCAGTAAGGTCAGTGAAAGCATTGTTTTCTCAAAAAATCTAATAAAAAAAGAACACAGAAGATCAAACACTGTGAATACTATTTTGCAGGATTTGGGGAGATACAATAGCAAATATCAGAAAATATTTTATCACAGATTATCTAGCATACAGATTCATGTTTAAATTCTACTAACCAACATATTAACATGTGGATAAAGTGAAATTAAACTACTGTTCACTGGCAATGGGATGTGATGTTTAGAAACATTTTTCCTCTTCTTCATTGGCTGGTGTTTTTGTTGCCACAAATGACGCAAACGAGCCCAAAGACCGACTGCCATATGGTCTATACGCATATCAGATGGGAGGTCAGGTTTCATGAGAGGTTTCCATAATGTATATATTCGCCTAGGACAAAAGTATAGAGAATTAAAAATTGTTCAAAACATATAGGGTTTTGTTTATGAATATATGTGACGAGAAACCACTTTAAAAAGCATTTTGAAAGAAATGCCTATTAGATTGTAGACCTAATTATTTTCTATGCATAATATGTGCACATAAATAACTAAAACAAAAATGCAATAGCAAGAATGATATGATACAGGCACACAGAAATGAACTCAGTAGTTCATTGAATTGTTGAATGATTGATTCTATGAGGTATGAGATACCACATGACACCAAAACCAAAGCAGACGATTCTTCATGAACGTTTGACTTAAAGCTTGGTCCATATAACAGTTGAGCAGAGTCAAGAGCTGTGTCCACATAGTGACTAGAAGGGGTTTGAAGGCCACTCGTTCCTACCGTTACCACGAGGTCATGTGCACCATATGTTTGTAACCATGGTTTTCTGACTCCCTATAGGTGACATCACCAGTCTGGTGAAGGGTTCCGGGCATTTTTATTTTGCTTTTCACTCATGCAATAACATCCAGTGCAAGATGAAAGCAGTGAGGAGACCTTATTTGGCTGAGTATGAACGCCTGATCACATAAGACTTGAGTCTGGATTGCTGGATTCAACATAGAACTTGGCACCGAAGTGCAGCAGTTCGAGTTGCCACGTTCCAATAGCACTTGAGTCTACTCCCCATTCTACCTTACTATATTACATATGTGGCGGGGAATGATTTCTTTCGTGACATAGAAGTGTAGTTTTTTATAAGGAGGGCGCATGGGAGTACTAAGATCCATATGAATTGTAACTAGAACAAAGTCTAAAACATGTGTATTTTTGCGAGTAACATAATACGCGAAAAATTTCCGGTAAGAAATGCTGTCATAAGAACTATTTAACATCAATGTCGGGACCCATATTCAATTCACGAGCTTTTGCTAGTGTAGTTAGTTGTGTAATAACGACAATTAAATATCAAACTGAAAAATAAAAAGACGCAAAAGAAACAGGCTTTTACAAATAAACAGTTTCCTTACACTGGATGGATGTTAGACGACTATAAAATGTCTGACCTTAAAGATTACACCAAACTATGTATTAGGCCGATAATGTGGCACTTCCTTGGTAGTTATCCAGAGCCATCATATTAAGAACAGACTGTCTGCATCTACTGCTCTTCTCACCTCAGGTAAGCTTCAAACTTATTATACTGCAAAATAGTTCAGTTAATTTAGATCAGTATACTTCCAATCAGCATAGAAAAAAGAGTTAACACACTGCATTTAATTTTATGGTTGAAGAAATAATGAAGATATATTTATCATTCACACCTTTGAGAAAAATACTCATTTTTAGTTACCGACTTTTATCTTAATGATAAACGACAGCAAACCTTTGTTTTTTTCATCGAACATCTGGGAAGTCAACCATTAGGCGTTAATTCCATATACTGTTTCCCTGAACTTCCGAATTTTCTTGACATAGCAACTTATTTAATATTATACGTGGAAACATGGTAATGGAGTATGCAACGAATATTTCACTTGAAGCAAATTTAAAATTTGTTTGTTCCAGTAAAACCCTATCACAACTACGTGGTAACCTCTTCAATAGCCTAAACTGAACTCCCCATATTAAACTTTGCAGCAAAGTGCAGCATCTCAAGATGCCGTATTACTTCAGGAAACATAAGATTAAAGTAAAAATGCAAACTATAAAAACCGGAAAGATAGGGGAGAAATAGTGATTACACGGAGGATAAATTTAATGAATCTAGATCAAAAAGAGTGAATGCATTAGCACCAATGCGTACTATTTTGAGCCATTTGACCAAGTCTTTGATTCTGTCTTAAGGTCTCCGGTCAGACAGTCTTAAATAGTTCAAACCAAAATCCAAAAACTTTACGGATTGATGTCATGTTTCGAATTGACCATCCCTACCTCTTTTCCTATATAGGATAGCACTGCCCGACGAGGAGGACGATGGCCTGGCATGCCTAACACCTGTCCTAGCCATTTCAATTGACGTAATTCGACACTCCCCCTCCTTACCTAGTACGCTACGCCTAACCTTGATATTACTGACCATATTATACTACCTAACATGAGACAGAACGCAAACGCACATAGTCAGACTACTAGTCTTTCGACGACCACGTCTCACAGTGATAAAGGTCGACGCGAATTGCTGCGCAGTACACATATCTTATGAAGGATAGCCGGATATCCCGCCCAAACTATTGACTGAGCAAGATAGCGAATATCAAGCGAGCAGTTTTACTGGAACTGGAAGACGATCCACGGGAATAAGTCCATGCACCAATATTTCTCTCACCTTAAAATACGATTACGGTAATTTAGGACATTACAAACTAATCAACCACTTACTACATATGCATCTCTAAGTCTATGCACTTCTTTTTGATGTCCCTGTAAATTATAAAGAATCTAACTAATAAACACTGGACATTCTTCATACTGGTCTGAACATAAAAATTACGTACATTACAATCATACATGTAGGAGAATACTCCTCAAAACCCGGTGATGAAATTAAGCAAAACAAGTGCATAGAGGATAATCATGACTTAAATCCATTGTGATTGGCTTTATTTAATGTAACTGTAGTATTCCGCGGATGCAGTAAAGTCCTTCTTGTGTGTCTTATACTGAATAATGTGAGTAAAAACAATACCAAGTCAGGTGGAAAATAAAAGCAATGATAGAAAAATGGAAAAGTAGGAGTTCAGTGTACTGAAATGTACATTACCTCAATATCCTGGCAGACTGTTTGAGGAAGCCTCTTTGCATTAAACTTTGGGCAAACCAGAGCTGAGACTTAGCGAAGAGAGTGGGAGAGTTCATTTCCAGCGCGAGACTCATTTGAAATATAGACACAGTTCCGGCTAAGCTCGCCTACTTAAGTTAGGCAGGAAATTACACTTTACCGCATAATCATTCTGGTCACCAAGCGACGAATATCCCCCTCCAAGTGTTGACAGCCATGACATAGACTCCTCGACCACAATGGCTTTCACCAATCGACTACATACAACCTTCCACCTAAAAAAATAATAATACAAAGAAAGTACTCACATTGGACCATTGGATATTGATGGCTGAAAATGAGATGCCACGAAAAGAACAGGTGAACTTTTACAGTGTTTTAAATAGGAAGACAGACATTTTGAGAATTTTCGATCTGGACAGCACTCATAAAGATACTTAAATTCTGATAGACTTATGAGAATTATCTTTTTCAACTTCGAAGAATAAACAAATCGGAAAGTTGTAAGTTGTGAGTCAACAAAAACTTGTCTGGGTGGATCAAACACATCAAAAGAATAGACGCTTATTAAGTGATGTAAAATATTGCCAGGTAAGTCTAATACTTGAACAGAGGACGAGAAACACACTACAACAATCATTACCACCAAAATGTCAAAATTAAAATACTCATAAATTTGACCCTTGAGGTGACCGTGACTCTGGGTCAGATGAACAAAACACCCAAGATTTAGCCTTTAATCAAAGTAAATATATGCTGCTCATTATACAGTGTGTAGACGTTTTGAGATGTTTCTCGAAGATATATTTTCTTTGCAACATCTTTAGATAATAAGTCTGATCACAAAATTCATCGTGTTTATTTCAAAAGTCTCAGTATTGTGGAAGTCAGCTGACTGGCATCCGGGAGAAATAACATTTGTCCAAGGAATTTATTCTTCCTCTTTTTCTCATAAGCTTGTAGTTTCAGTAGAACATGCTGTTGTGTAAATAGCATCAGGAGCTTTTTGGTTCACTTTCACTGGTTTAATTAATTGAATTACTGTATTTTGTGCACTTTCGTGACTTTTGTTTATATCTCTGTATTAGGGTATATATACATATTTTTCTGTTTGATTTAAACACAAATCTCACTAATAGCAGTGGACGACCGGAATGCCACTTTCCGGTGGTTGATGGGACGCAGTGTGATAACTGCAGCCTGTGGTTTCATAAAGTTTGGACTGGCTTACCAGCCTATATGAGATGCAGCAAGCCATCGTCTCCGTGGGTGTGCAAATTTTGTAGCTGCCTGTTGGAAGTCCTCACCGAAGAGGCCATAGGACTTCTTATGTTCTAAAAAAATGACAAAAATCTTTGATGAGCGGAAAAAGCCAGCATCTGAAACCGATGCCTAGAATGATGATTCTGAGCTGAGTCATAAGACAGACAGAACCACATCCCGAAGCTTTGAAAGATACAAAAGAGGTACAGTGTGCCCAAAAGTCTGCAACAGGACACAAAATGTCTCGAAAATCTAAGAGGGCCAGCAGTGCTAACATTGTAAGACTGCCGGGTGATACCACCACGAAGAAGCATTACGTGTCTGGTGAACTCATGGCTTCCATCTGCGGCGAGAGCAAAGTGAAAGTAACTAATTCCACTTGGTTAGTGCCAAAAAATAGGAAGCTGAAGAACTACAGGAAAGAGAAAATGACTGAATTTAATGATAAGGTCTCGATGGCCGTGAACACTAATAAGGTTGTGAAACCTTAGGACTCAAATTGCTGTATCGTAATTTGGATCTTGAAGAAATCGAGGAATGTAGATCCAGCTGCCTGACATGCTGATGATCTCAAGGTAGTTAGCTCCATCATTCGTGAAATACTACCTGAAAAAGCAAGTGGAGTTCACGCAAGGAAAGTCATCAGAATCCGTAAATAAAAGGCTGATGCAATGGAAAGCTCCTCACGACTGCTGAAGATCATACTGGGGGACGAGGTGGAGAGGAGCATTATTCTCAGCAACGCATTCAAGATCAAGGACAAAAAGATGAGATTAAGGTCCGACTGGCTTCTGAAAGATAGAATTAAGAGAAGAGAAGCCGCGGCCTAATTAAGTGCCCGACCAGGAAACGGTGAAAAAGACCTTTAACTGTTGGGTTGTCTGATAGTAAGGTCTCAGAAACCTATGTCGCCCAGACCTCTGTTCATATGTCTAGTGAACACGTATGTCTCTCAGTATGCTATACGAACGCGTGTAGTCTTAGTAATAAGCTTTCTGAACTAGCACTGTTGTCTGAAGGACTATAACCTGATGTGATTGTTATCGCTGAAACACGGTCGCTAGTGGGTGTAGACTTAACTCCACTCATACTTGGGTACATCTGCATTAGAGCAGACAGAGTAATTAGTCTGAAGGGCGGTGGGGTTGCCCTTTACATCCGGAATACATAGGAATTATATCAGCGTTGTCGGAAGCTCATGACAGCGACGCCAGTGAAGCCGCAAGATGTGTCATACACTTGAACAAGGGTACTGTGACAACTGAAGTTATTTATAGAAGTCCTGCCAGCCAAGCTGACGATTTAGTACTGAATCACCTCAAGACGTGGAGTATATATATTTATTCTTATCTATGTATGATACACTAGTTGTACAAGTATGGATAAGTGTTATTTAAATTACATAAACTTGATTTATGGTGAAGTTACATGGTATCTGTCCTTTTTGAAATTAGTTTGTGGGTACAATCTGCCAACTAGTCATTCGAGGGAGCACATCAAGAAACAGAAATATTTTCTACGCATTAACAAAAAATTCCAAGTATGTGTTGGATGGATTACAAATACTTTGGAAGAAAATAAAGCTTGAAGTCAATTCTTCCACATAACTTTGGTGTGTGCGGCATCGAATCTTATTCTTGATTTATATCCAAATTGGATATTAATTCAAAAGAAGTGATATATATGTATAATTTTATCAGCATTTTTATCGTAAGTAATACCAGAAATGAATTGTGCTCAATGCAGATTAACATTGGTCGTTATCGGGCAGATTTGTTTTACTGCGCTGAGGTCAGCCGAAACCTCCATTTGCCGCTGCATGGTTGTTCCGTACGAGTTGAATAACATGTAGAAAGCTATTTGTAAACCATTTTAGATCACGGATACTGCTTATATAGGATGTTATACATTGTTCTGGTACGGTAAAACGGGACTTTTTTAAGGATGTTGAGTTATTACTAGCCAAAACCTTGAATGATGTTATGGTATATATAAGCAAGTGACTTCAAGTCCTGTTCAGCTTCAGTCTTACTGTAGATCTGTGCAACTTCCACTACAAACCAAATAGAAGAGAAGAGGCAATCAGCAAAATACCAGAGAGGAAAGATAAGCATATGGACACGGATGGGACCCTAATGTTTATATACTTATATGTTTATATTCGTTATACATAGTAAACCTTTATATTTATTTCTACTTTGTCTTTTTATTCGTCTGTGCGACTAGTCTATTTATCGTTTTAGAGTAATTAGGAAAGTTTTGCGCGTTCTTTGGTACTGTAGTAAACTAACAGTTGATTCGTTCTAGTGGGGTGAAACAGTCTGTACAGAGGGCGTTTGAAACATATAACCGAGGTGCAGGTTCTGACTACGGCTAGGTCTGGAAGTCTCAGACCCAAGTTAAACTATTTGGGACCTGTTGTTAAGGAATGATTTCAGCCATACTAATAGTTCGTCAAGTATTTCTAAGGAATTCAGCGCATGTATCAGTAGTGGATGGTCGACGTGGTGAAATGCCTTAAAATGTTAAAGTAGACGACAAGTACTAGTTGTCGTCTGTCACGACTGCTGGTCACAAAATTAAAGAAGTGTAGGTGGCGTGTTAAACATGATCTGGATTTTAGGAATCCTTGTTAGTTCGGACTTACAATATCGCAGCTAAGCATATGCCTGAGTGTGTTATCTCTAACTAGTCTCCCCATAATTCTAGGTGCTATGGGTGTGATGCTGATTGGCCTGCAGTTGTTGACTTCTGTTTCAGAGCCGCATTTGTGTGTAGGCGTAATAAATGTTGTTTTCCCTATATCCGGGTAAGTTTGGGTTGTTAAGGACATTGTGAAGATTTTAAGCAGTAGTAAAGGAATGCCAGGGCCACCATATTTATAGAAATACTATGATATGCCATCAGTGCCAAGACCTTTAGAGCTTTTGAGAGCTCTAATAGCCTGGTCAATGTTCGCATAAGTGAACTCAATGGTACTAATTTGTTTTGGTGTGGGTAGAGATGAAAGTTGTGTCATTCTACTAGTAGGCTGTATACCAAGCAATGGTACTGTAGGCTTAAGGTAGTTAGCCTCAACTGTTATTTTGTTGAATAATTTACACATGTTTGCAGAATCAGTGCATAGCCTGCCTTTGTCTATTAGGATAGAAATGCCTTGATTTTTGTGGTTTAATCGCTTCTTTAGGATTTCTGTGAGAGCATACACCCTAGCAGCGCAGACTAGTGAGGTGCATTCTTCGTTCTTCATAGACGAATCTCGAGCTTGTGAGATGGAGCTCAGAGCGTTTAGTATTAAACCAAGCGTGTCGAAGTCGTGGTGCCTGGAGTAATTTGTAGAGAGTCGCTTCAGCTTCGTACGATTCTTTGGCTTTCTAAATGACTTTCTGTGTGGGGAGGCCTTTAGTGTTTCGAGTGGAATGACAGCATCTTAGCATGTGTTTGAGTTCTGGTAGAAGATGCTCAGAACTCTCAAGAGGTGGTAAAGTATTCGCCCCATTCAAAGGATCTTAGCATTGATTCTACGAAAGCCCAATTCGTCTTACTATAGTTCCCATATGTTATTTGTTGTGAAGTGGAGGTATAAGCTACATTGTTACTCAGTGGAAGTGGCAGTGCACACAGCACTGTTTTGTGGTCACTACCTGAAAACTTAGAACCCACTAAGATTGAGAGGGGCCCTTATATCGTGACAGAATATTAAGTCCAGTACGTTGTCACCTCTTATGGGGAGAGTGACAGTTTGTTTTTAGCCAAAAATGTTCAGTGTACCTAAGAGCTTGTCATATTTAGTTAGGCCTGTTAATAAATCCCAGTTGATTTCGGGTAGGTTGAAGTCTCCACATATGATCTTATGCTCGTATGGAAGAGTGGATACTTGCTCCAGTGCATTTATAAGTTGTGTCTCGTAATCAGTAAAGGTGCCAGGTGCTCTGTAGACACAACCTATTAGGAGTGTAGCAGTACTGAAGTTTGCGTTGATCCACAGGGTGTCCTGCATGTCATTGAGTTCCCTATTTTCTAGCTGTAATACAGTATGTTCAGGAAGTACACAAGGTAGCCTCCTCCCTTACCACGCTTCCTGTCACATCGAAAGTGTGTGTACCCATCGATGCTTATCTCTTCGTCTGGTATATTGGAGTGACACCAGGATTCGATAATAAAAATTACTGGGGGTTTGTATACCAGAGTTTGTGCCCTGAGCATCGGTAGTTTGTTTAGGATAGATTTGCATCAATAAGTATTAAGTAGAGGTGAGAGTTGAAGTAGTGTTTGAAGTATTGAAGCTCGTCAATAAGGCTCAATTGTGGATCGGCATCCACTGTTTCCGTGTGGAATAACAACCCTGTGTTGCAACTAGTTTGAGTACCATGTTCACCTATGTCTATCGAGTTACTTTCCATTTCTTTTAGTGAATAATGAGTTTTATTATTGGACACACTATACCTTGAGGTAATTCTAGGCTTGGGTAGGTTGAGACTTGGGTTGGAGTACTTATTTGGCCTATGCTGGTACAGTCATTGGGTGTGATTAGTAATTCCGTGTGCACTAGCCTATGTCTGTTTTCTTCTCGATAAGGAGCCGATGTTAGTGGTACGGGTTCAGAA